AAAAAAAAAAAACAGAAAAGAAAGGAAACAAACACATCAGAAAATGATTAGAATTAAATAAGGTGTTGGGAAAAAATGAAATACATAAATCAATAGTATAGATGTGAATGAWTTCATCTCCTTATTTAATATACCTTTGAAAATCTTTTTAAGATTTTTAAAACTCTGATGTGTTAACAATTTTTTAATTAAAAAATCCAAGTGGGTAAAAAGCACAAAAAGAATTTTGATGAAAAAYCCAACAAAGATACATCCAGATGACAATTTGACATCAATTTCTGACAAATTGGTAGACAAAACAAAAATTTTAAAAATGATAAAGCAATATGCTTTACATTGGTTCAAATGTTGCAATTCATGAGTAATCCTTTTTAATGGCAATGTTTTATGCATTGAATAACAAAATAAAAATTGTTAAAAAGCAAGGAAAATTAGTTCAATATGCCTGTCTCAGAAATTGAATAATGAAACAACTAAAGTCACAAAGGATTTGAAAAATAAAACTTACCATTCAGATTGTGTATGCATGTTTGTGTGTATCTGTTATTACCAAAGAGATTATATATTCTTTTCAAATGCCAATGGAATATTCAAAATAGACTATTATACCACAAAAATATCAGCATTTTACAATCACATAAAGATATAATGAAGGAATAGAAATCAATAACAAAAGTATAAAGCTATATACATAGGACACATCCTCACTAAAGATAAAATGAAAATAAAAATAAAGGTATAAGTTTAAAAAAACAAACTGGAGTGAAATTGATTGATATTATAGGATTTCACCAAAGCAGTACAGTATGTACAGAAAATCCTAAACCCTAATTAACATTTTAAAAATGACTAAATTTTTAAAATAAGTGTTTAAGTATTCAACCCAGAATCTAGAAAAAGACTAATAAACCAAAAGAGGCTATAAATAAAGAAATAATAAAAATATAAGCAAAACACAAGACCAAAGAAAAACAAAAGCACAATAAGATTCAAAGTTGTTTTTTTGACAAGATTAAAATGAAGTCTGTCCTCAGAGGTAGATATTTGTGCAGGTCAGATCTCTTATCTGACAGTTGTTCCTGAAGACACAGCCCACAAATCCACCCTCCTTCACGCCTGCATATTCCTCTTGTATACATTTAATTCCGTATATTAACCCTTCCTGTTTAAGTGCCTAAAATGTTTCTGTTTTATACACTGAATTTTGATCACCAAAACAGTATCTAAGGACAAATAAATCTTTAAATATGGCTGGCTGACTTTTCCATCTGCAAAGGGAGAAATAACCAGCCTGTGGCACATTCTTTCAAAACAGTTATTTAAAAACTCACTTGAAGCCTCTGGGGTGAAGTGCTCGGTTGGCGGCTTTCACAGACACAGCTGTGAAATGAGACATTATGGTGGGAAAAAGAAATACAAGATCTACAGAGGGGGTTCGCTATTTCTCACGTGAGAACTTAAAGAATAAAAGACTGAATTTCAGAAAGAATGGCAGAGTAAGGTCTTGAAACATCCACTCTTCTATTAAGGAAGCAAGATCACTTGAAAAAAAAATTGTTAAAATTATCTTTTTCACCAATCCAAGAAGTTGCTTATTCAAGGAAAAAGAAAACAGCTAAACCCCACTAAGAATAGTATGCCTCTGTATAGTTTAACTCACCCCATGCCCATCCAAAGTTGCCCTAGCCCAGCCAAAGTTGAAAACAAATGGTTTCATAATCACAGTGTGTGTGTGTGTGTGTGTGTGTGTGTGTGTGTGTGTGTGTGTATAAGCAGTCTACCCGATACTGGATAGAACAGAATAGGATTGGGGCTACTTAAAAGCACCATTCTAAGTGAACTGTTATAATTTGAGCTATTTAGTCCTCTCTTTAAAAATCTTCATTTGCAGGATTTGCCTTTATTTAATCAGATTCAAGAGTTCTCTCAGCACAAACAACCTCTTACTGGAGGATATTTTAAAGTCCATAAAAACGAACTTTATGGAATTTTGGGGAAGCCACCAATAATTAGTTTCTAYTGCTGCTATTATAAATTACCCCAAACTTGGAAGCTTAAACAATAAAACTTAAAAGTTTTGTAGGTCCATAGTCCAATAAAACCTCATTGGGTTAAAATCAAGGTGTCAGCTGAGTTTCTTTTTGGAGTTTCTAGAAGAGAACCAGTTTCCTTGCCTTTTCCAACTTCCACAGGCCATTTGCGTTCCTTGACTTGTGGTCACTTTCTTCATCTTCAAATCTAGTCTGTGSTGGGGAGTCTTAAGGGACATATCACTCTGATATTCTGCCTCCCTCTTCCACATTTAAGGATGCTTATGATTATTACATTGGGTTCATCAAGATATTTAGGGGTAATCTCTCTACTTTAAGGCCAGCTGACTAACAATCTTAATTTCACTGGCTACTTTAAATTCTTTGAAGATGCAGCCTAACGTATATTATCAGGTTCCAGGTTTAGGATGCTTATATTCTCCCCAATCACTAAATAAACAAGAAGCAACAACAAAGACCAGCAGCAACAATAACAGTAAAAAGCATGGCAAAACGGGAAGTTGTGACTGGGAATTGACACCTTATGTATGTTACTTACAATTTCTGCTTTTCAATAAAAACAAAAATAACACACATAAAGGAAGAAGTGAACATGACATACACAGAAAAAGAAGAATAGAAACTGTCCATCAGGAAGCTTAGGTATTAGGGTATTAGACTATTAGACTAAGACTTTAAATCAGCTATTTTAAATATGTTTCACCAAATTACATAAACCATGACTAAAGAACTCAATGAAATTATGAGAATAATGTCTCACTAGAGTACAAATCAAAAGACGGAATTATTAAAAAATCATTTAAAAAAGAAGCCAAATAGAAATCTTGGACTCAATACCATATCTGATCAGGAAGAAAGCAGAATCAATGACTTAATTTATTTTCTTGTTACTGGAGATTTAACCCAGGGGCACTTTACCACCATGCCATATCCTCAGCCCTTTTTCTCTTTTTTATTTTAAGACAGTGTCTTCCTAAGTTGCTTAGTGCCTCGTAAGTTACTGAGGCTGGTCTTGAACTTGTGATCCTTCTGTTTCAGCCTTCTGAGTTGCTGGGATTATAGTCATGCCCTACCATGTTCAGCAGAATTGGTGAATTTAAAGATAGTTCAGTTGAGAATATCTAATTTCAGAAGCAGCCAGGAAAAARAATCAAGAAAAGTGACAGTTTCTTTGAGACTTGGGACACCATCAAGTRTAATGGGGATTCTGAAGAAGAGAAGACACAGAAAGGTGCAGAAACAAAAGATAAATAATAGCTGAAATTTTCCTAAACTTGAAAAAAGATATTAACCCACATATTAATAAGTTAAATTCCCAGTTGGAAAAACTTAAAAAAAAATAAAATCCACACTAAGATATTAGAATCAAACTGTTCAAAACCAAAGATGAAGAAAATCTTAAAAGTAGCAAGAGAGAAGTGACTTATAATGTACAAGGACACTCAATAAGGACCTCACCAAAAAACATGAAAGAAAATGACCATCAAATAAGAATTCTATACCCAGCAAATCTATCCTTTAAAAATCAATAAAGAATAAGTTAACACTTTCCTAGAAAGACAAAATGTTGAAAGTATTCATTGGTAGCTCATGTCCTATAAGAAATACCAAAGGGTGTTTGTCAGGCTGAACGAAGCAATAAGTAACATATGAAGAGATAAGGAACACTGAAAGGTGGAACTTCACCAACAAGTATAAAAGGCAGTAAAAATTTTTTGCTTTTTTCTCTTATTGATTTAAATGACAATGTCATAAATCAATAATTATAAATTTACTTTTTTCTCTTATTGATTTAAATGACAATGTCATAAATCAATAATTATAAATTTGTGGTGATGAACAGATGATGAAAAAAGAATTTGCATAACAATAAGAGGACAAAAGGAGGAAAAGGAGCCAAATTTTTATATATTACTAAAACTTTATATTAATTGAAACCTACATTATTATTTACAAAGATGTTAATTCTGTTCCTTAGAATAACCACTAAAAATATATTAAAAAATAGTAAAGAAAAGAGGCAAATTAAATGGTACACACCAATATGCCTATTTACCATAAAAAGATAGCAATGATGGAACAGAAAAACAAGTAAATGGCATAAGACATAAAAATACCCAACAAATTACAGACCCAATCCTATCATATCAACAACTATACTGAGTATAAATGGATTAAATACTCCAATCAAAGGGCAGAAACTGGAATAATGGATTAA